GGCTCCCTGCTCTGCGGGAAGCCTGCTTCTCCCTCTCCCACTCCCCCTGCTTGTGTTCCCTCTCTCGCTGTGTCTCTGTCAAATAAATAAAATCTTTAAAAAAAAAAAAATAAATAAAATAAAATATTTGAGAGAGAAAATGAACAGGGGGAGGGGCAGAGGGAAAGAATCCCAAGCAGACTCTGCTGAGCCTGAAGGGGCTGGATTTCACGACCCTGAGATCATGGCCTGAGCCAAAAGCAAAAGTTGGACACTCAACCGAGCCACCCAGGCGCCCCCAATATTTTAAATTGTAAACACATACCATAATAATTGATGGTGTGTACCAGGATCAAGAACTGGTTTTTTTTAGCGTATTGGTTTTGCTTAAGAAAAAAGAAAAAAACACAAAACCCCTAACACTGTAGGTGCGTCAACTTATTCAAACAATTTCCCTGGGACGACCACCTTTACTGAGTGGCCTTTACTGTCAATGACTGGGCTCCACCGCCCGTGCCTATGCTTTGTGAGGCCCCGCGAGGCTGGGACGGCACTCAGCATGCTGCACTATAGCACTTCTCCCCTCAGCTTTGTCGTGGGTAATACACGCGGATCTGGTTCCCCCTCAACGGCTACAGCCGTCCGTGTCCCTTCTAAGAGGAACAGTGATGGCTTGCAGTGACTACATGGCTGCAAGTAAAGCCACAATGAATTACATCTGATGTGCGTCTCCCACTCTTCTGGGGTGGTGCCTTCTCTCTCCAAGGAGACCCCCTGGTTGTTCTGTACTCACATGGCACCGCCTAGACACAAAGCAACCTCCTGTAACACCAAGTTAAAAACTAATTTCTAAAATACAAACATGAGAGTATGAACAAAGGCTGGAGAAATATACACAAAAGAGGGTCACCCTTGGGTAGTGGGATTATGCTTGACATTTGTGTGGACTTTCCAAATGTGAACTATATATAAATCACCACTCACCCAACTCGGGGAAGACGAGCCACTTCTTTGGAAAAGTGTTTCTAATTTTTCACTTAGGTTGACTACTGAACCTAGAAATTCTTTTTTTTTTAAGATTTTATTTGTCAGAAAGCGTGCACAAGAGCAGGGGGAGCAACAGGCAGAGGGAGAAACAAGCTCCCCGCTGTGCAAGGAGCTCGATGCAGGACTTGATCCCAAGACCCCAGGATCACGACCCGAGCTGACTGAGCTACCCAGGCGTCCCTGAACCTAGAAAATTTTTTTTTTTTTAAAGATTTTATTTATTTATTAGACAGAAAGAGAGACAGCGAGAGCAGGAACACAGCAGGGGGAGTGGGAGAGGGAGAAGCAGGCTTCCTGCCGAGCAGGGAGCCCGATGTGGGACTCGATCCCAGGACCCTGGCATCATGACCTGAGCCGAAGGCAGACGCTTAATGACTGAGCCACCCAGGCGCCCTGAATCTAGAAATTCTTAAAGTCAAAGAAAAGGTTAACAAACAAAGGTTTACTGGAAGAAAAAAATATGGTTAAAACATATTTTGAAATGCTCAATCTCCCAGTCAGACCACCTGAAGGCAGTTTGGTTTTAAACATACCAAGTTCATCACCTGGTTATGTGCCCCAGTGCTGGGGGCGGCCAGCCCAGACCGAATCCTGGCCTTGCCACTTCCTCGCTGGACTGGGTGCTCTTTAGCCGGGCACGTCTCTTTCTGAAGCCTGTTCCCTCTGTGACCTAGGACCCTTCCAGGGATCAATCGAACCACCTGATGCAGGTGAGCTAGTTATTACCCCCTTCCTTTCTCCCGCAAACACGTCTCACCGTGTGGTCAGAAAATCAATAAAGATGCATTCCAAAACACCAAGAACTCTGAACAACTCTGAAGAGCTACCAATATTCTACAAATACAGGGTTTTTTTGTTTTTGTTTCTGGTTTTTTTTTTTTTTTTTAAGCACTGCTGATAGAACACATCTCTTTGGAGAAGCTGCTGATAAAATTACAGGTCTCGCTTGTAAATACACGAAGGCTAATCTGACATCCATTGCTCATGGGCCAACAGATTCCAATTTGGAATGAAGACTGGCAATTATACCTTTCAGAATGGGAGTTGTAAACTTAGGAGTATTAAGGAAGTCCTCACATTCGCTCGACTGTACGTTTTCTTAATATAAGAAACAATGGCAAAATGGAATCACTGAGACTGACAGATTCTCAGCAAAGGGTTCAATATTTAGAGTGAAAGTGGCCCTAGAAGGGCAAGTAAATGGTACTGACAATATAAACTTAATGTACTCAGCCCTGAGAATTGTACCACCATCAGGAACATCACCAAAATCTACCTTCTCCAGAGGATACACCGACGACTCTGAGAAAATTAGCAAGCAATCCTGCTCTGAAAAACCTGTCCCAATTTCCATCCTTTATAGATGGTATCTCAGACCCAGAGATCCCAAAGTTCTGTGCCAAGGTACCCCACAGGTGCCACAGGAAACTCACAGGTATCCCGGGATATCTTACATTTTTGAGGGAAACACAGCAATAGTTCACAACTGCCTGACACTGCACAAACTACTAGCTTGAGGTCATTCTTTTCAACATTAGATTGGGTTGTGTTCCTGTGATAAAAAACAAGGACTGCATGAACACCAGTCTGGGTCAGGAAACAATTCCATGGTATGAGTGGCTGTGCAAGGACCCAGAACTCTGAGTGAAGTAAAATTATTATTCTTTCCTTTCAGATGTGTTATTTTCTTTCAACAGCCCACTAAGTCGTTTGGACGTAAATACTTACTAAGGTTCCTGTGAATACACTTTTGAGAGTTACGGGTTACATCGCAGGGACCCTTACTGAAACCTGAACACGTAAGTGGTAGCAAGATGCACAAATATGATATGTAAGTGAGAAGCCAGTGAGGCTGCCTGCGGCAAGGAGGACACGAGTTTGCCTGAGTGACCCTGTGGCTGCCACCTACCCTCTTCCCGACCAGCCCACCCCCGCACCCTGAGAGAAAGCTTAAGAGAAAGGTTTTAAATAATCAGTTTACTTTTCAATTTTGATCTCCACAGGATGATGTCTGTCAACACTAGATAATTTTTCTTTCTTCACTTCACATTCTTTCCTGTCAGACAGCTTTTTCCCAGCAGGTTCGTTTTTGGCCTAAAATACAACACAGATTAGAAATGGCCCATGGTCCTGGTCTCCTCGCTCGTGAACTCGATAGGTTATAATAGGCAAGAGTCACCTCACCTTCTCTACGGAGATCATTCTTCCATGCAGCTCAGTTCTGTGGAGATGGCTGATGCACTTTGTAGCTTCATCAGATGTCGACATGGTAACAAATCCATAGCACCGAGCTCCGGGACTGCGGGCGTTGGTCACCACTTTGGCCCCAACAACCTTCGTGAGAAAGGACACGCTTACCTTCCCATATAAATCACCACACGATTTGTCAAAAATGACTACCAGTTACCTGATCATCAGAATTCTTTCCACTAGTTTTTACTTCTCCACAAATTGTTGGTTTGCCATAATTAGTTATTGAAGTGGTTCTACCTCAACCTATCAAAATACAATTGCTTCCGATACAAGATCAGCCCTCAGAGTGACAAAAGACGAACAGGGAAAGCTAAAGACTTTTTTTTCCCCCCCTAAAGATTTTATTTATTTATTCGTGAAAGACAGAGAGAGAGGCAGAGGCAGAGGGAGAAGCAGGCTCCCCGAGGAGCAGGGAGCCCGATGCGGGACTTGATCCCAGTACCCTGAGATCATGACCTGAGCCAAAGGCAGACACTTAACCAACTGAGCCACCCAGGCGTCCCAGCTAAAGACATTTAAAACTCCACAAACCACAACTCATTAATCAAAAGTACTGCCCACTTGGATCATTTTCTCCAATTGGATCTCGACTTCCAGACAGGTTGACACACCAAGCATTACCCCCCTGCTGCCTAAAAAAACCTCGCAAATTAGAGGAAATGTAGGCAACGGGGTTTTCAGACACTGTACACCAGGCCACACAGGACGGTGACCCCTGCAAGGGACACACACACGTATGGTTGCCCTGGCTTACTTCCTAGAGGTTCCCGGCCAAGGGCAGGGAAGAGGACCTGAGGTAAGGGTGGGAGGTGGTATCCGAGAGCTGAGCACAGCTCAATGTCTGAAGAAATTATAGTACCGGAGAGGAAGTGCTGCATAAAGACAGCCCCAGAGCGCTGCAAAGGGCCCCCTAAGCAGCACACATGTGAGAGGCAGGGGAGAAAACCACCTGTTAAGAGCAAATAATCCCCAGGCTCAGAGTCTCAAATAATTCACTTTTTCCAGAGTGAACCCGACAGCCGGAATGGAAAAGCTTGCAATTCACAGGGCATCAGGCTGAGACCTCAGAAGGGTGCTGCCCTGGGAGTGCACAAAGCTAGCCCCGAACTAAGGCTGCTCTGCTCACCTAAAGAAGCCTAACAGCAACCTGGGGAGGAACAAGTAACTGAACTATGTCCCAGCAAAAGCTCAAGAACACTGACAGGGACACACGAATAACTAGAACGCCTGGTGTCCGATCAAAAATGACTAGGTAAACCAAGGAATGAGAAAATGACTCTAATGAAGAAAACCAACCAACCAATAAAGAGATCCAGAATGCACTCCAGTAACAGAATTAATGGATGATGATATTAAAAGTTATTTTAGCTATATCCTAAATGTTCAACAAGTTAGGAGAAACCACGGAGCATGTTAGGTAAACACAGAGAAGATATTTAAAAACACCCAACCCCAAATTCTGGAGATGAAAAATACATGAGATGGGACGGACAGCAGACACTGCAAAAAAAAAAAAAAAAAGATGAGGGAACTTGAAGACATAGCAACAGAAGCTACTCGAAATGAAACAGAGGAAAAAAGATGGAAACAAACCAAAACAGAACCAGAACATCAGTGGGCTGTAGGACCACCTGTGGCGTCGTCAAAAGCAAGAAGCACAGAAAACCTCAGTGGATGAAACCATAGCACATCTGTGGCATGAACTGCTCCAAACCAGTGATAAAGAGAACCTTCCAGGTAAGCCAGACAAGAAAGACACCTGTGCCCTAAGGAGCAAAGGTGATACCCACAGCCAACTGGTTAGCCAACATGAGCCAGAAGGAGGGAGCACCACTGCTGTCTGGACCAAAAATAAATAAATAAATAACCAACCCCAGAATTCTGCATGCAGCAAAAACAGCTTTCAAAGTGAAGGCGAAAGAATAATTTTCAGATCTACAAAAGCAGCAGAAATTCATCCTTGGCAACACTGTACTATAAGAAAAGTTTAAAGAGGGAGGAAAACAATACCCAATGGGAACTTAGATATCAACAAGAGGGAGTAAAGAGCACCCCAAAACATAAACATGGAGTTTACAAAGAGCCCATGCTTTTTCTTAATGTATCTCTTTAAAAGATAAATGTTTAAAGCAAAAACAAAAACAAAAACAAAAAACAAAAAAACACAAACACACCAAAATCCAAACAACCAACCAACATATCAACGAACCAAGAATGTACTATGCTGTTTATTAAAGCCGTGACACCACCACCACAAAGGCTGGGAGGGAAGGATGGCGGTGCACGTTATCAGGTTCAAACGCTCCCCGGGAACTGGAATTTTCATCACTGAAGGACAGACCGCATTAAGCCTTGTAATAGAATTCCTATACGCAGATAGCAAAGAAAACGTTATAGTTCAACCAACGGCTCAAAGAAGAAACCAAAAGACAAATACCTTGAGACAGATGAAAAGGAACTGTAACACAGCAAAACCTATGGGGCGCAGTAACAGCAGTTAAGAACAAAGTTCACAGGGATAGATGCCCACATCAAGAAACACAAAAAACTCAAATAAGCAAGCGGACTTTACCCCTCAAGAAACCAGAATACAGCAACACTAGTGACATATACTAGTTCCAGCTAATAAGTGACAGATCATAAAAAATACTCAACACAGGGGCGCCTGGGTGGCTCAGTAGTTAGGCTTCTGCCTTCAGCTCAGGTCATGATCCCAGAGTCCTGGGATGGAGGCCCACATGGGGCTCCCTGCGCAGCGGGAAGCCTGCTTCTTCCTCTCCCCCCTGCTTGTGTTCCTGCTCTTGCTATCTATCAAATAAATAAAATCTTAAAAAAAAGTCTGCACTGGGGCGCCTGGGTGGCTCAGTCGTTGAGCGTCTGCCTTCAGCTCGGGTCATGGTCCCAGGGTCCTGGGATCGAGCCCCGAGTCAGACTCCCTGCTCCTCGGGAAGCCTGCTTCTCCCTCTCCCGCTCCCCCTGCTTGTGTTTCCTCTCTGGCTGTTGCTGTCAAATAAATAAAATCTTAAAAAAAAAAACAACTCAATTCAAAAGGCAGGAAATACAGAGAAGCAAGGGATCCAAGAAACAGAACAGAGAGCAGACAGGGAGCCAGATGGCAGATTTAAACCCCACTATATGATGCTCGCGTTAAACGTAAATGTTCCCGTAGGACATTCTAGAGAACTGAACGTAGAGCCAGCACCAGTGCAAGTGCAGAGCCCCTGATCAGGACACAAGAGCCCTAGAGGGTCTGGCTCTGACCAGCTGTGATTCAGTACGTCAACGTGAGCAAGGCCTCTCCTCTCTCTGGACCTCAGGGTCCCCAGCTGTGAGACAACGGGGGGTGGGGTGGGGGTGGGCAGTCCATCATCTTCACGTTCCCAGCAGACCCTGGTGTCTATGTTTCCACTTGCAGATATGGAGGAGCCTGCTCTCCCTGCAGAGGAAAGCCCCCCTCTGTCCACAGCACCCCATACAGGGCCAAAGGGAACAGACTCTCCTGAGAGAGTCACTTCTTTCAGAGAGGAAGCTTCCCCTTCTTCCTTCTCTTTAAGGTCAGGGGGCTGAGCCAGACAGGATCACATGACCTTCCCATCAACCTAATTATCCTTGCAAAGACATCACCTCCCACGGCCCTGAGAGCAAAATCCAAGACCACCTCACCTGTCCCTGGGCCCCTGGCCTTGCCCTCCACCTTCACAGCAGCCTTTGATGGGTTCATCTTTTTTTTTTTTTTTTAAGAGTTTATTTATTTGTAAGAAAGAGAGAGAGAGAGCACAAGTGGGGAGAGCGGCAGGCAGAGGGAGAAGCAGGCTCCTCACTGAGCAAGGAGCCCGATATGGGACTTGATCCCAGGACCCTGGGATTATGACCCAAGCCAAAGGGAGACGCCCAACCAACTGAGCCACTCAGGCATCCCTGATCAGTTCATCCAAATTACAGACTCGTCCCACCACTGGGCCTAAGTCCCACGGCTTTAGTTCAATGCCGAGCTCTGTGGGCAGGGCCAACTCTATCATTACTCAGGCTTCGGCTTAAAGAGCACTTACTCAGCAAGGTGCGCTGAACCCCAGATCCCCATCTAAACTCGGTCTCCCTCCCACACACTGATGGCAGGCTGTAACGTCCCTGAATGAATCCCTCGTCACATGCTGTATTTACTTAAATGCTCTCTCCAGCAGCCTGTAAGATCTAGGCCAGCGCCCTCACAGCGGCTACGCTTCACAACTGGTGCCTCAATCAAGAAGGAAGTCAACAAACTAACTGAGGACGGGTTGCAGCTTCCCAGTTTTAAGCCCTTCCGAAAGACATTCGCCGTGAAGAAATATTCACCTCGTGAATGCTTCTTCTGGGTCCTGTCCACTTAAGTCACGAACACATTCGCCAACTCCTACTCGGGGACACAGACCTGGGCAGAGAAATGCCCACGGCAGCCAGGACATCCAGCAAAGCTCCGCCTGGACTCCCTGCAGCTCCTCCCTGACAAGGGGCGCCATGCCCCCACAGGCACCCACAGGACCAGGGTGGTCCTCCTGGCTGAAGGTGAGACTGTTTCACCATCTAATTCCAGGACAACGAAAATTGGGTTTTAAATGTCGAGTCCCTGCAAAGCTTCTGAATGGTAATGTTTTCTTTCTGCCCCTGTCGACCAAGTCTTTGTTGATTTATTTTTACCAATATGTTCCTGTTCTCGAGCTATGTATTTAAAAATGCAGGAATATTAAAAGCCAACTCTTCACTTATTGTTTGGGAAAAAAAATTCAGCATGCCAGCTTTAAGTTTTGTATGAGCCAAAAAATGAGCAGTTTAAGAGAAATTAGAATAAGAACGTTCAGACGTAGCTATTTATATACATTTTCTGTGACACGATGAACTATCTGCTGCCTATTACCCATTCTCAGCGAAGAAACAAGGCACACTACCCAAAACCAGGTGAGCCTTTTCTCCCTCGTGGTTTTGTTTTTTTAAAGGGAAAAACATAGACACACACACACACACACAGAAAAGACCACCAACAAAACTAACAATAGAAGAAAGAACTCTCCATAGTCTTGAGTTCATTATTTAACGCCAAACAGAGGCTGGGTGGCGAGAAGTTGGTGGGGGGGGGGGGGCACACACCTTCCCATACTTGTTGAAAAGGTTCTTCAGATCCGTCGCTCGAGTTGTGGAGGACAGTCCACTGACCCACAGGTTCCGGCCAGAGCTGCTGCTGGTGCGACCTGCTGCAGGAGGGAGAGGGTCAGGCTTGGTCTCCAGGCCAGATGGGAGCACGACCTGCCTCAGGACGCAGCCCGCTCTTAGACCCCAGCTACCTCCCACTTCAACTCTCCTGGTCTAAGCATTTCAGGATGGAAGACAAAAAATACAGGTTGCAGAAACCGTTCCCTTACTCAAGGAATCATCAGGTCCTCGTCACTTACAAACAGAAATGAATTTTGATGACCAATTCTCAACCGGGATGGCAGTTTCTGCAATCTTGTTCTGTTATTCTAACGGGCAGAATGGGACTGTAATAGGACGCGGTGCACTGGGATTTTCACTATCCCATAAATGAAAACCACAACAGAGACATAAACCACAGAAGCTCACCAACATTTCAATCTAGTCTCTCAAGATACTGTTAGATGGTTACTTCCAGTAATCCTCCATGAAACCAACCACCGGATCCCCAGTGTGGGTACCTGTAAGCCCCTCCCTCCCCAAATAAGGGATCCGTAGGCGGCTCCCTGCCACATAAATTAAATCATACCTTTTTCATCTTTAATGATTGGCTTTATATCTTTTTCTTCCTTAAAAGAGCTAGAGACAAAAGCGAATGTTACTCAGACGGGAACAAAATGAAAGAGAACTAAATTAAAAGTATGGTATGTGCTAAAAACTGAATACCTACCAGAAAATTAGTCTGAAATAAAATTTTAAGACACCTTTGCAAGCTTCTCTAGGAAATGTGACCCCCAAAATACCATGTCAGATTCTTAAAAGTCAATTGGATTTAGCTGAAGATAGCCGTTAACAATTTAAGAACACAACCATAGTAGGTTGAGAAAAAGAAAAGAAATAGATTCACCCATTAGAAATACACAACGAGAAATAAAACATGGTTTAGAAGTAAACTACAATTGCATCAGTCTGGCTGGCCAATTGCAGAAACAACAGCTTATGTATGTCATTAAATGACCAATGAAAAGGAGATAGCGTCTGGTCTAAAACTGAGAAAAAACAAACCTCATTTTCTGATCAGCGCCCTCACTGGCTGAGGACTCTTTAGGAGCCGGAGGGACTTCATTACAAGCTTCAAAAGCAAACTTCTTCACGTCTTCTTTGCTATCTCTGGGGCCTGGGCTTGAGGCTTCCGGGGGCGCTTCCGCGGCCTCCTCGCTAGAGGCTTCCGTGTGCTCTGAGGCTTTACTACTCTGCTCAACTGGCTTCTCTAGCCCTACAGGCTCACAGTCCGTCCGCGCGCCATCGCCTGGCTGCTCCACGGGCTCCCTTTTCACTACCGCTAACAGGGTGTCTGCCCTGCTCGACTGAGCTTGTGCTGTTGACTCGCTGGCCAAATCTAAATCACCCTCCTCCGGATGGGCGCTGCCAAAAAGGTCCTCTTCCTCCGCAAGCTTTCTGTCTGGCCCCACGCTACTTGTATCCTGTGCAAAGGGCTGCTCCAGCTCGGAACCTTCTTCTTTTACTGGCTCAGATTTACAAGTTTCCCCCAAAATGTCGAGTATTTTCTCATTTTCTACGGATTTAACAGGAATAGAATGGCACAAGGTTTAATTACCAGGGAAATAAAGCAATCACAAATGCGGAACTGGCACGGCTGCCACACTAACACGAAGAGAACTGCTAGCTACACAGAGATTGGAAAACCCGCGGGTACACAAAGTTACACCGGTTTACACTACCTGCGCTCCAACCGACTGCTACAGGAAGCCGCTACGCTACATGGAAGAGAAAAGGCCCCCACAGATTCAAACACCTACAACCACATGGCTGCTTCTCGACAGTCTTCTTCCTGTTTTTGTTCAAGTGTGGGTCTTCAGACTTAGTTTTCCAATGTCCAAGGTGCCGAACCGAATGCGATCGCCATTTGATGACAACTCAATTTCCAAATTTCTTTGAATTTCTTTTAACAGAACAGTCCAATACGCAAACCAGAAACTCTTCCAAGGTGGGAGATAAACGCAGTCCACAAGGGGAGTAATGCGTTGAAAATTTTCCTGAAGAGACTCTGTTTCCTCTTCTGGAATCCAGTCACTTCTCGGGTTATAAGTGCCCTGACAACCACTTTATCCTGCCTTAACTGTAGTAATCAAAAAGACTGCAGCAAAATATCACAAGATCTGTTTCATGTGTAGAAACACATGGAAGAATCACCGGGGGAATTACTTAAATGCCCCTCTACGTGGTTAGAGAGATGAAAATAATCACTACATCTCACCAAATATATTTGACCTCCAGAAACCAGAACGGCACTTCCACAGATCTGGTGATACGAGTGGGTTTCCAATCTCTGATCCTTGTACGATCTGGATTGTCCACCATTAAAATCATTTACACGACCATACACAGCTTAGAATATATAGATAGATTGAAAAAAAGAGTGGGAAAACTTTCAAACCATTAACTGTCGTGTTTCTCTTATCAGTACCTGGCTCCAATAGAGGTTCTTCAATATCCTGTTTTAAAAAAGAAAAGAGAAAAAAATTCCACAAAGTACTTAAAAACTGGGCAAATACACTTCCCTGGCAGACACAGCTTCAATCACATGTGAATAAACACCTGTTTCAAACAACTCTCTCCACTCAAAACGACCGTATTCCATTCTGGGATGATTCGGTGAGGACAAGCCCATTTTGTTGGCCTCTCCCCAGCAAAGCCAGGCAGGCAGCAGTGACGCTCGGCCTGTTCAATTCTCCCTGGAGGGTCTGGCCACCCCACCCCAAGTCTGAGCTGACTTAGTGGCCTCCGGAGAGAGCAAAGACAGCCACAGCAAGAGGTCGCACAGACGGCGAATGTTTTGTATGTCATACCAGATTTGAGATCGATTTCTCCCCAAATAAGCTGTTATTTATAACTGGAACCTGTCAACAAAACCATCTGTTCACTCCTCCCAAAACCTTCCACTGACTTCCCACTGTACTTAAGACAATGGGCCAAACCCTTTCCCTGACCCACAGACGCGGGTAGTCAGGCCCATCCACGTCTGCAACCTCACCCCTGCGTCTCTGCCCCCACCCTGTGTCCTCCGTCCCTACATTCAGCCACTCTCCCTCCTTGCCCAAGGTCCTCTTTTCCCCTTCACTGGGCTAACTCCAGACCCATGGGTCAGACCTCAATTTGAGTGGGGTTTCCTCTGAGAGCCTTACGGCCCAATCACCTCAACTTCTCCCTCGAACTTTTCTAGTCATTTTCTTGCTGGTTATGAACACTGTCCCCACTGAATGCAAACAGTAGGACTGTACTTGTTTGGCTCAACCTCTTACCCCAGGCACTCAGCTCGTTTTACGAATCATTTTTACACAGAATCATTTCTACACAGACACACATCCTTTTTCACCATGGAAAATCAACCGCTCACATAATGTTTCCAGCCAGGGAGCACCAGAATGGTATCTTACCGGAGGTACTTTGAAGTCCAATGATGAAGCATCCAAAGTGTTCTCGAAGCCCTCCCCATCCACCTGAAAGACAAAACAGAGAACCACGTAGTGGAGACAGAGCTGTGAATTCCAAGGCCTGCACCTCACCAGTTTCTAAGGGACCCACGTGTCTACTTCCCTCAAGCTGCCCACCACCATCTACAAGTCCACTGTTGGATTATTCGGTTTCTCGCCGGCCTTCCTGCCTGCTCCATGACTGGGCGGTACTGCACCCCTGAGAGGGTCTCACAGACAGCAGGTGCTCGGTCAGCACTGGCCCAGGAAGGTACACTTTGAGTTCCCAGGCAGCGTCTATTTCCTGGTGGTCCACATATGTGACCCGGACACGATTTCCAGAGCAGAGCTCAAAAGCAAAAGGAAAAACTTCACACTTCTCCGATTTTACTTGGCAACGATACTTTGAAAAATAACAGTAACTGGGCACTTTTACCTAACGTGCTTTATTTAAAACATTTAACTGAACTACTATCTTAAATGTCACTCGATTTGACAGGTTTTTACCTTCTTGAGTGAAATACAAAAACATGCCTTCTCAAATGTATTTTTTTTTCCTTTCCCAGGTTTGAAGCTTATGACCGGGATGCTTGGATTAACCAAAAGGTAAGAAGCCAAGTCCATGCTCTGGAAATAATTAACACACAACAGGATCACACTGAGAGAGGCCAAGACCAGCAAGTCAGTTGCTCAATGGCACCCTAGGCTGAGGGGCAGTGACGTTTGGAGTTTGTTGACTTTTCACCTTTAATGTTTAAAGTCCAGTCCTACAAGGGCCCCCCTTCCCCCCGCCCAGCTTAGTGCCTTTAAAAAAAAAAAAAGAGAGAGAGAGAGAACAGAAAACCAAACCAAAACACAAAAAACTAAGAGGCTGAGTATGCCAAGGTAGTAAGATTAAAATGGCAATCAGTTTTAGGATGGCCACCAGAGCTCTCCGCCAAATACTACAAGCGAAAGCTTGAAAAAGCAATATTGGTAACAGAATTCAAGCTCTCCTTTATATACTAGGCCATTAAGCGTGGTTTTCTTTTCACGGGAGGGGTGCTTCTGAGGGCACGAATACTTTCCTTCACTCCTTCCCGTCTTTTAATAGAACCATCTAACCTTGTGCCTAAAACACATCTTAAAAAAAAAACCAACAGGACGACCGAATGCTGAGATTATCAACTGTTTTCTGTTTCCTGTTTTCCAAAGGAAAATACTTCCACCAACAGTGTCAGCCTTTTACGATTCATGCTGCGGAAGGGCCTCCCACCCTTTTATCAAAATACTCCCCAGGATCGTAGAGAAGTGAGCCGTTCGTTAACCTCTGACTTACGTGCAGTTTAAACGGATATAATTTACCATGAGGCTTTAGACACGGAACTCTGTGTTTTTGGTGACTGCTGACGCGGTGGTGCACTACTTAATCAACCGCCAGTGAGCTCTCACTCCCAGCGGCGGCCCGCGAGCGCCGAGGAGCCCCGAGGAGCCCCGGGGCTACTGGCACATTCCACCATGTCTTCAAGTTACCTACAGCATGCTCTGTGAGCTGCGCCGGGAGCTCTTGCAGTTGGGCCGCCACGTATTCTTTGCTATCACAAAGGGAACCGAGAATGCTGTCAGCGCCGTCCTCCCCAAAGTCGGGAGCACTGCTATTCTCAACTTCGCTTTCTTCCAACACACCCACATCCATCATGTCAAGGTTCTGCAAGCTCTCTAAACCTGCATCCATATCCTCCTGTCAAGAGAACGAAAGGCGTCAACGGCCGGGTGGCTGGTCACAGAGCTCCTGCTAGTGTCTCTGCCGTGGATGCCACATACCTGCCCATCTCTGGAATCTTCTTCCAGGCCATTGTCTTCTGTACCTTCTTCCTCCATCTTTTGTCCTAATTACAAAGTAATTTTTCAGTCAGATAATGCTCAGGTTCTGGCCTCAAAAATGTGTATACTTTTTATTCTAGAAATCCCCCCAATATGGGCGTGCACGAAAATGTCTGATGAGGAATTAAAAACTTAAGTCATCTATCTAGAAAACTGTAGCCAGCCCAAACATTCAAAAGGGAAGCAAATCACGACAGTCTGTTTGTATGTGGGGTACCAGTTGTCCTCAAAAGGGGAAGTGGGGAGGAATTTGGCAATGACTAGAAACACTTCTGGGGTCACAACTCGGGGATGCTACCGGCAGCTAGGGTAGTGACCAGGGATGCTGTTCAACATAAGACACTGCACAGGACAGTGCCCCACCGGAAAGGATTACTTACCCCAAATTGTCAACAGTGCCAAGTCTGCAAAACACTGTGGCCCACCATACAGTGTCTTACAACTTCAAAAAAAATTATGCTTCCAAATATAAAGAATATTGAATGCCACAGGAAAATGCCCACAAAATTAAAAAACCATATATAGTAGTTCTACTTTTATTAAACAGCATGTATACAATGGAGTGTGAAAATGCATTTATAAAATATACACGAGAACGACTCAGGCAGTCACCAACAGGGATTAAAATACAGGGTGATAACATCAGAGATAATTTTATTTTCATATGCATACTTCTTACATTTTCTAAAGTGTCTAGAAATACCCTTTTTGTAATTTTTTTTTTTTTTAAAGATTTTATTTATTTATTTGAGAGAGAGAGCGAGAGAGAGAGCACATGAGAGGGGGGAGGGTCAGAGGGAGAAGCAGACTCCCTGCCGAGCAGGGAGCCCGATGCGGGACTCGATCCCAGGACTCCAGGATCATGACCTGAGCCGAAGGCAGTCGCTTAACCAACTAAGCCACCCAGGCGCCCCTTTTTATAATTTTTTGAAATGAGAAAACTAAACAGGAGACATCAATCTCTGAGTAAACACCCAAACTGCAGTGTGTACCCCTGAAGCGCCTTCTGCACCATCATTACGAATACTCATTCAAGATGTGTGGCTTTACTAAGTGTCAGGCACTGTGCTCTCTCAGTTAATACTCCCCACAACACCACCAGGTTTATTAGCTGCATTTGACACATGAGAATTTGGTTCAGCTCTTAAAAGAGGTCCTAAAAATGTTTGGTAGCAGCACCCACTTTCAGTGCCTTTAAATAGTAGCCAGCAGTTCCCACAACGGATGTCAACAGGAGAGATGCAGACCTTTCAAAAGTGCCGTAAAGGAGGGGGGATGACAAACGCTGGGCAGAGAGGCCGGGCCCCAGTTCCAAGGGCCTGGTTTCAGCTAACTAAAAGAGCTGAAGGGGCGGGGGACAAAGATGCTAGAAAACCTAACTCAAAATTGTACTTTCAAAACATACCCACAAGCTTCAAAAATTTTGCCTGTTTAAATGAGTTAGGACAAGAGAAGGTCTCGTGTTCTAACTCCTAATGAAGTTTTTTCTCGGAAAGTTTAGCTTACTTTTTACTTCTTTTTTTAAAGATCTTATTTATTTATTTGACAGAGAGAGAGAGAGAGAGAGAGAGAGCGAGCGCACAAGCTGGGAGAGCAGGAGAGGGAGAAGCAGGCTCCCCGCTGCTGAGCAGGGAGCCCAATGAGGAACTCGATCCTAGGACCCTGGGATCATGACCCGAGCTGAAGGCAGATGCTTAACTGACCGAGCCCTTTTAACTTTTATGTAATCTTGAAGACCTAATTTCGAACAGGACACCACGAGGGTCCAGTGCTTCATGTAACTATGTGTGCGGACACCTACAAAGAACATGCTAGCTCAACTACCTATAGGAGCTGTTCTTTGCCCCAGGGCCCTGGCCACCTGTTTCCTGTCTGGGCCTTTGGTGACTTCTCAGTAAAAACGAAAAGGGAAAGGACCAGTGCCCTTCTAATCCCAGCTACATCTATACTGGGACCAACATCCCTTTATACAAGCAAAAGTAAGTACTATTAAAGCTTTTTTGACAAAACGGTAACTTCAAGCAGTTTTACCATCACCTAAACCGTAATCCAGACATTCAGACACACACTGGAAGCACTCGGCTAAGGTTTGGTTTGTCTAATGATGCAAAGATCCCTGTTAAGAGCCAAGAACACTTTGATTAGTAAGCATTGAACCTCTCAAGTTTTAAAGGAGCACCTATCTTAAAAACTTCCACTAAGAACTTTTAAATCGACACACACCTCTCAGTCTGCACTCACTTGACTAGTCAGCATTTATACTTGACCATTACAAGAGCAGCAAAATCACATCGAGGTGTTAAAATCCAGCTTAAATGTAACTCCTCTATATAACCTAACTAAAAAGTTTAAGCTTTTAAAACACACATAAAAGGGTGCCTGGGTGGCTCAGTCGTTAGGCATCTGCCATCGGCTTGGGTCATGATCCCAGGGTCCTGGGATCGAGTCCCATGTCGGCCTCCCTGCTCGGCGGGAAGACTGCTTCTCCCTCTCCCGCTCCCCCTGCTTGTGTTCCTCCTCTCGCTATCTCTCTGTCAAATAAATAAAATCCTAAAAAATAAATAAAACACACAAAGTTTTAAACAGATGAGTCATGGAGAAGTCTTTCTACAAAAGCACTTATAGGGCGCCTGGGTGGCTCAGATGGTTAAGCGTCTGCCTTCAGCTCAGGTCATGATCTCAGGGTCCTGGGATCAAGTCCCGCATCGGGTTTCCCTGCTCAGTGCAGAGCCTGCTTCTCCCTCTCCCTCTGCCACTCCCTCTGCTTGTGCTCTTCTGTCTCTCTCTCTGTCAAATAAATAAATAGAATCTTAAAAAAAAAAAAAAAAGCACTCATATAAAGTAAATTAAAGTTACTGAAAAGGCTACAAGCTGGTTTCTTTTCCCTTTCTAAGCATCTGTCCTCCACTGCCTAAGTTTAACTCTTCTTCAGATGAACAGGGTACATCCAGCCATGACAATTTTTATGTTGGCACCTTTCAAGAAAATAATCCCCATCACCTGGAAGGTCCCAATTATATTGTCCTCACCCATATAAAAATGAGGATGAAAGCCAGGGAGGGTAACAAGGTTTCAAAGTTTCAGGGAATTAAATGCTTCCAAAATTAGCTAGTACCATCCACAAAAAGAAATGAGGCACTAATCTATGTCACAAAGTGAATGAACCTTGAAAACATGCTCAACAGAATAAGCAGGCACAGAAGACCACATATTGCATGATCCTATTTACATGAAATTGAATGGTCAATTACATGCTGCAAGTCCACAGGAGGGGGAAATGGGGAGCAAGTGCTAATAGGCACGGGGGCTTCTTTTTGTGATGATGAAAATGTTCCAGAATTAAATACTGTTGACAGTCGCATAGCTTTGTGAATATACTAAAATGTAATGAAGTGTACACTGTAAATGGGTGAATTCTATAGATGTGAAGTATATCTCAATTAAAAAAAAAAATCTCACTGTGGGGCACCTGGCTGGCTCAGTTGGTAGAGCATGTGACTCTTGATCTTAGGGCTTTAAGTTCGAGCCCCACGTCGGATGCAGCGATTACTTCAAAATAAGATCTTAAAAAAACAAAACAGAACAAAACAAAACCTCACTGGTTAAAAAAAAAGGCTGCATGAAAATCCTCCAACAACCTGTTTTGTATCCTTAAAGATAGTGGGTTCTACTCCATCTCAGATTGGTGTCCTTTTCTTTGGTTTAAAACCCCGTTTTTCAACTTCCCAGGAATAAAGTCACGTAGTGTATTTGGTTGCTCAGAGCAGCTTTAAGAGCGTGCCTTACTCTGGTTGTTTTTGAATCCCGATGACAAGAGCTAAAATGTCTTTAACGCAAAATTTACGTAACACTTGCATATCTCTCTACTCCTCCCAGCACTCCTGACAGAGCTACTTGTAAGGTGGTGAAAACCAAGCCTACTTGTTAGATGGGAACAATGAAGGCCAAAGACATTCTCTGGGCCCAGAGGACAGAAGCGGTGTTAAAAAACTAATCTGTAAGTAAGTTCTCTACACGCTCAGGCCTCCAGCAGCAATAAGTACAAGCAAATACCTTTAATACATCTCTTTGTTGTCCTCTTGCTTGTGGCTTCCAACGCGACACCAATTTCATCAGGATCCTGCCCTTCTTCCTTAACCGCCTATTAAGAAGAGATGAAACTTTACAACACTGTGCAGACCTGCAGGGCACACATTGTTCTCTGTTAAGTAACAACTTCCCAGCAAACAAAGTCAAACACTTCCTTGCAAAGAGCAACAACTCTGGTTCTGCTATCTGGGCTGCCAGCCCAAAAGGCACAGGATGAACCTAGCACAACTTGGTTCTCTCTGGACCCTAAGCACAAAAGACAAAGGGATGTGTGAACTGGGGCTCCAGGGTCCAGGTCAATGACCAGTTCCAAAATGGCCCTTAAACTAGAAATTGCCCAACCCTCCACTTTAATAACGGTAACAGTAACAGAGATGCTGCACTAGGTCCACTAAGTCCACCATCTGTAAAGGGCTGAGTGGCGTTCCACAAGCCATGCTTGACTTCTGGGGAGAAAACCCACCCGACAGACTGGGAGTGGGGTGTGTCTGTGTGTAGGGTTGCTCAGCACCTTCCTCCGGACTGGCACAGGACTGGACACTCAATGGTAAACTCAAGCTCTGCAACGAGCTTGCTCTGGTTGGGGAGACAGCTATTCCTCCATACTCAATGTGGGGTTGAGTGCGGCCAGGTGGGGCATAAACACAAAACGGTGCAAGAAAGAAGCAGGGAGATGGAACAACACTCTAGGAAGCACGTTGGGGAGACATCTATCTCAGGTAGAGCGAGAAAGACTACGAGGCACTAACCAGAAGCCATGGAAGAATAGCGGTGGAGGGGAGGGCATGACAAGAGCAGAAGTCCTGGAGTATTAACAAGCACAACTCCCTCTCCTCTAAGATCGCAAAAACTCTTTACTCATCCGTTCTCCAGGGGAGGAAACTGAGGGGCAGGGAGAAGGCACCTATCCAAGGTCACAGAACCGAGTCTCCAGCTGGAGCCCGGAAGAAGTCCAGGCGGCCACCCGGCGGCTAAAAGGACGCGCTTTCAGCACTCTTGAGGCGACCAGCTGGAAGGAGGATCAAAAGCGAGGCAGAGAGGGGCGGTGACGGGCCAAGGTCACACAGCCGGGCCCCTTGGTCCCCGCGAGCTCGGGCCGGGGTCGGTCACGAGGGGGAATGGTGGAGGGGGGCCCGCGTCCGAGAATCGCGGTGACAGGTCGGCGCGGGGGCGTGCCGCGGCCCCCTGCTCCACCCCGGGACGTTGAGCCGCCTCACCTTCTTGAGCCGCTCCATCAAGACGCTCTTGTTGCCGCCCGTGTCCAGGTTCCGCTTCTTTAGCTCCGCCCGCAGGTCTATCACCCGCAAGTCGCTCAGCCGTCGCGTCCCAGCCTCCGAGGTACCCGACCCGACAGCGGCTGTGCCAGAACCCGACTCGCCGGACCCTGCCAGAGTCTCCGCCATCCCAGGTCTCGCGTCCCCGCCACCCACTTCCCACACCGCCGGCGGCTGTAGCGGCTCTGAGCACAAAATGGCGCCGCCTAAGAGGAAAACGCACTCGCTTCCTCCCGCCCCGCTTTCCGGCAGCGCATGCGTGCCGCACATGCCAACTTTCTTAACAGCACGCGCGCTCGCGCGTCGACCAACCGCACGTTCCCCACCACAACGCGCAGGCGCCGTAACTGCAGCACGCATGTGTCACGGCCGTTCGCGGCGGGAGGCTGGCGAGATGCAATGCGCCTGCGCACATCCCTGTGAGCGCTCACCACGCATGTGCACACGCGACCGGCAGCGTCGGCTCCGCGCCGGGTGCGCCTGCGCAGAAGGGAGGCGCGCCAGGGCGGCTGGAGCGGTTCCCTCGCAGGCGGCGCCATTTTGTGCTAGGTGCCCAGATAAAACCGGCCCGGTTCTGTGTGAAGTGGGCGGCGGAGCCACGGTCCCTGGAATGGCGGAGACTCTCTCAGGACTAGGCGATTCGGGTGCGGCGGGCGCAGCGGCTTTGAGCTCTGCCTCGTCGGAAACCGGGACACGGCGGCTCAGCGATCTGCGGGTGATCGATCTGCGGGCGGAGCTGAGGAAACGGAATCTGGACTCGAGCGGCAATAAGAGCGTTTTGATGGAGCGGCTCAAAAAGGTGGAGCTGGGGCCCTGCGGGGGCGGGCAGGAGATGAGAAGGGGGTCCTGGCGGCCGCGACTGCGGTCCCCTGGTCTCGGGGTCCGCCCCCGGTCCCTTGTGGGGCCTGCCTCTGGCCGGGAGCTCCGGGCTTCTCCCGACTCTTCCCAGGCCCTAGCGGGAGCTCCCAGCCTTACTGGGCTCGGGTGCGAACCTCAGCGCCGCCCTGGGAAGGAAGGAACATCTGGGCGCGAACCGGCGAAGGCGCCGCGGCCTTGCGGCGGCGGACGACAAGGCACCCAGGCCGAGGGTTCCTGTTTTCTTCACCGGCCACTGCGCGGAGGGCCTTCCTCTCAGCGGCCCACTCTAGCCTCCAAAAATGACGGGAAACCCGGAAGCCCTCATTTCTTGGGCGAGGTGGGGGGACTCGGCCAAGGTCACACGGCCGTGGAGACGAGGCGTAGGGACTGGGACCCAGGCCGGGCGATTTTCTGAGCCCGCGCTGGCCGCGGGGCTTCCTCTGAATATTCCGATGCTCCATGGCCCGTTAGGGTCGACGCACTTTGAAGAGGGGTCGAGTTTACTGGGCAAATGTGCCAAGAGCCTGTTCAGAGGTTAAAAAAAAAACGGTTTGTGAATTTGCAAGCTCTAGGTCGGGGAAATAGCACGGAAAAGGAAGTACTGTTGCGATAGCGAGCAGAAACGTAAGAGACGTTGGTAGGGAGAACGTGAAGACAGCTTCAGGACTTTGCTAGGAGGCAGGCAGAGTGGGGGCTCTCGTCCCTGTGTCTGGTCTTGGGTCTCTTCCGGGTCTCAGAGGCCTGATCTTGGGCACGGAAGACGTTTAACGCTCTCTCAGCTTGTTTATCCTGTAAAGAGAAGGAAAGATCGTGCTTTCGTGTTAGGATTAAACGAGATTGCACGAAACGGGTTTGGCATGCTGCCTGGTACATGAAGATACGATCGTTGACACAATTCATTTTTTTCTCTGTGCCATCATTTGTTATTTGCAAAACCAGGACTCTTATCCCTACCTTGAGGGGTTCTGAGGGATGGGTGTGAAAAGCATGAGCAGTTAATTAAATGTTTGGGTCCTTCTTCCCTTTTTTCATATTCTCGTTGGCTTTTTTGTTTTTCTCCCATTGACCTATTCTCGTCTTGGGACCTCTCTCGTGTAATCTCAGCATCGCTACCCCCAACCCCTGCAGACGGTGTGATTTGTGACTCTTTGCACCCTCCTGGCTCCCAAACAACTGAAGACCAGGGCATTAATTATTACGGATTGCTATTAAGGGGAAGTAGGGATTGTTTCCCATTTTCTGAATGAGGAAGCTAGGGCTTGAAAATGGTGGGTTGATTAGTCCAAAGTCAGTTGGGCTTTTCTAACTTGATCTTGTGTTTGTTTCACTATGGATACTAACTTCCTTTACTCAAGTTGGGGCAGGTAGTTCGTCAACCAAGATGTTCTAGAAAAAATGGTGGAAGGTTGAGGGTTGCCAGCAGGGCCTCCAGTCAGCAAAGCCAAATTGGGACCTTTATCCTTTTTACTCAGTCTGCAAGACTGCAAAGCTGATAGGATGGCATTGAACCTTCCTGTCAGATTGGTTGCTGAAACTGGTATGTGACTTCAAGGATCCTCCATCACTATTATCTCGGAGCCATTCTTCATTTCTTTTCCCTGTTTTCATTTTCTTAGGGGTGTGGTCATAGGACATAAATATCATCAGCGACTATGTTAATATGCTACCTTATCCAAGTGAGTCTAGAATTAACTGATTTTGTTTTTTACTTCTACCATCTAGTTTAGTTAGTGTCCCCTTTTTTGTGTGTGTGATTTTTCCAGAAAGGGCAAATGAGGAAAAGGCGGAAGGAGCACAGAGAGTAGTTTCCTGAGCTCTGTAAGGATGACTCATAGCCTACAGTGTCCCTGGGGATGATCCTGTAAACACTGCACCCAGAGGAAACATATTGAGGGGCAAAATGGTACACCTCCTGTCTGGGGCAGTTCTAGCAGTATTCCAGAATCCTCTTTTGCCAGGAAGAATGGGAGGGACTTTCAGGTTGTGTTTTCCTTGATCCCAGAGCAGAACTCCCAATTCCTTCTCCTCACCCTGGCTTCGGAGATAAGAGAGATTTTCTTTGTTCCTGGTACAGTTCAGATGTGGAGTCCCTAAGCCCCATTGCAAATTCAGACTTCGATGCTGAGAAACTCCTGAAGATCTGAATTTCTGAAACCGTCTAGAAAAAAGACATGCTATTTGAAGTGGGTTTAAACAGGACTTGTGCTCACAGGATAGTACAGTAAAGAGAGAAAGGATTATCAGTAAAACCTAAAAGCGAAGCCCAGTATCCAAGGATAACACTGTTGACACGCTCAGTAACCATTTGCTGCGGGCCGCCTCGGGGCTCTGCGCTGTGCTGAGTGTGGGTGCGGGCTGTTCAAAGGAATGATGAGCTCTTGGGTGGGAGGTGGGGCTTGCCAAGAGATCATTATAATTCTGTACCCTTTCAGGTAGGTCCCCTGCTGGTTAAGAGCAAGACCTTTGAAGTCAGTCACAGATGTGAGTGATCTGATGAGGTCGTATGGGTCATGTCCAGTCTCATGGCACACACAGTACGATCTCAGCCGAGTGAGTGTTAGCTGAGTATTCTGTCCAGACAATGCCAAGTGTAGGCATGGCATGGAGAGGGAGTCACAGAGGGTCGAACAACACGTCGCTGGGTGAAGTCATAGGAAAGGGAAGAGTGTGCTTTTTCCTTTTTGAGTTCCCTTGGGTCCCTAGTCCAGGATAGACTAGGTTGTGGTGTACTAAGAAATAAGTTGACTCCAGAGCCTTTGTTCCAAGGTAGAGCAAGACAACAGATGGGTGGGGGAAAGCCCTTTCCAGATCAGCAACCTGAAGTTTCGGTGGAAGTCGAGTCTGCGTGCTGCCTTTTTTGCTAAACTATTTTTTAACCTTCCGTTTAGGCAATTGAAGATGAGGGGGGTAATCCTGATGAGATTGAAATTACCTCCGAAGGAAACAAGAAGACATCAAAGAGATCCAGCAAAGGTAGGAAGGATTTTATAAGCACTGCTAATGTTAAGAACTTTCTTCACAATTCTTTCCTTTGCCAATGAGCCTGTTTAGTTGGCTGTGTTTGGGGTCTGTGAGCTACCCTGTGAATCCAAAGGGCCTGGAATGAAACTTTGCATTACCTTTAAGATTTCTCTAGTGTAGGGGCGCCTGGGTGGCTCAGTTGGTTAAGCAACTGCCTTCGGCTCAGGTCATGATCCTGGAATCCCGGGATCGAGTCCCGCATCGGGCTCCCTGCTCAGCGGGGGGTCTGCTTCTCCCTCTGACCCTCTTCCCTCTCGTGCTCTTTGTCTCTCATTCTTTCTCTCTCAAATAAATAAAAATCTTTAAAAAAAAAAAAAGATTTCTCTAGTGTATTTTGTTTTTCTGGTACTTAGGAATTCAGACAGGATGGAAGGGATATTAACATATTGGTTCATTAGGCCTCTCAGCAGCCCTTGTTTATCCAGACTCTTTTTTTTTTTTTTAAAGATTTTATTTATTTATTTTGAGAGAGAGAGAATGAGAGACAGAGAGCACGAGAGGGAAGAGGGCAGAGGGAGAAGCAGACCCCCCGCCAAGCAGGGAGCCCGATGCGGGACTCGATCCCGGGACTCCAGGATCATGACCTGAGCCGAAGGCAGTCGCTTAACCAACTGAGCCACCCAGGTGCCCTGTTTATCCAGACTCTTAACCTTCTTTACATAGAGAGTATTTAGGACTGCTTGGGTCTCCTATTTCTCTGACTTCTCTTTTAAATACCACCTGGCCAAAACAGTTGTCACTTTCACAGACATTGCTTTCAAAATTGCCTAGTGCGTAAATGATGCATTCATTCCACATGGCATTAGTGATCTTTATCATCTGACCCAAATCTCCGTTTCCCTCTTCTCCCCTTCAGCCTTCCTCTACTACATCCTGGGCTTTAGTCAGGCCCCGAACATGTGCTTCCCGCTCTTGGTCCTCTTTTGCCCAATGCTTATGTTCTTTGCCTACCCCTCTCCCCATGTGTCTGCATTCAGGTCCTTGTTCATCAACAGATGCCTTATGATCCCACCAGTAGCAACTCCTACCTTCAGCCCTCCGCACAGTGATGACCTGGTTCCTTAGACCTTGTTTTATTTATTTATTTATTTTTTTAAGATTTTATTTGTCAGAGCAGCCGCATATGCACACGCGAGCAAGTGCACAAGCAGGGGAAGTGGCAGACAGAGGGAGAAGCAGGTTCCCTGCTGAGCAAGGAGCCCAGTGTGGGACTCAGTCCCAGGGTCCTGGGATTATGACCTGAGCCAAAGGCAGATGCTTAACCGCTTAACCGACTGAGCCACCCAGGCGGTACCCCTTAGACCTTGCTTTAATGCTAATGTCACTCTGCCCCATGTTAATGAGATTATTGAGGGGAGGGGCTCTATCTTCCTTGTCTTTCTTGTTCTTTAATATTTACTTAGTAATTTCATTCAGTAACATTCAACTACTG